AACTGGATATTATGTCGCGTTATTGCCTTACCACTCGCATTTATGAAAAGGAATGATCTGATGATGGCTCCAGCCGAAAATCTGCACCAAACAGTAACACGTGGGTGTATTTGCTTTTCAACAATCACTTGCGCATTTTTTTAACCCCAAATGCAACAATTTTGTCAATTAACAAAGCCATCAAGATGAAAATAACCATTTGTTTCATAATCCATTCTCTCTTGGTCCCTCTGCGTGGTCAGTAGACTTCAGTTCTCGAGTCAATTGAACTTTGTGAGCATGAAGATGAAAATCTTTCGTGAGAATACGCTATGGAAAGCTTCTTCACCACGGTGCCGAATTGGACTGTCAGCAACACTCCCACGAACTGTTTCGATGTTTTGTGTTTAAGATCACTAAATGATTCAGTCTCCCTGATATTTTCAATTAATCTCTTCACAATTGAAGTTAAATCACTATTTCGACCATATTTTGTACGAAAACAGTGAACTAGAGCTGCCTAACCTTCATTATTTTAAAAATATTGTTCAACAATGAAACCGCGTTGTTCTTTGCTCTATTCTTTTAATAATCCTGCATTGTCAGCTGTCACGCTGTCTTTTTTTTTCGTTGGCAGCAAATGAGGCATAATTCAAACATTGCTTGAATTTTGGGACACCCGATATTAACTGAACTGTTAAGGTTACAGAACCCAGAAATATTACACGCATTTTGCGGATTAAATGTAACATTCCGTTCGGTATTTACACACCATTTAGAAACGAATTCATCCCTTGTATATTTTGACAACATTTCATTAATCCGCAGCGTATCTACAAAGGCACAAGCGTATTATAATTGACTTTTAAATGAATTAATATTTGTTGGAGTTTATTCATTCAGAGCACTGAACAGTAAAAATACGTGTATATATAAGTATAAAACGAAATATATTTAGTATTTAAATTGCTCCTCAAACAGCTCTAATAAACGAGGTCTTCCTTGTAAAGCGAAAAGAGAAATATTTTATTAAAATTTAAAGTGAAATGAGATAAGGGTGTTATTAATTTGGGCCCTTACGCACATTTGCATATTGTTTATTCAGACCGAATTCTTACTGGGTATAATGGTAATCCACAGAAATTTCGAATTTGACTATTGTTCGTAATGTAAATACCTATGTATTTATTACTTTCCAGTTCCCAAAATGGCTCAAATACGTTATCACACCTCATAATATGCGTCAACTACCATTTAGATGTTCCTGTTCGACCAACTCGATCACCAGATTTGATACCTCTTAAGTAGGGGCAGTTTTTAGGGGCAATAGCTTACAATATAGGACAAGAGAGTCTGTTTAATTGTTGTCAGGGGGCACTGTTCCCCAGAACACTACCAAACTAACCAACTTGTGGAACAACGGTGTGGCAGAGTGTGAAACTACCGTGGATTAATTTTATAAGAAAGTGTTGCTTATATATGATTTATTTTGAATCTGCGACATGTTATAAAATCACCGTATTATTTGATATTAATAAAGATAAAGCGCCGGCATTTTCGAGATTTTTAAAAGATTAATATTTTTTATATGATTTATTTAAATACTAATATGCCATGCATTGCTATTGTAAGTAAAACAAATTTACGTTTTAAAATAACTATTTTTCCTGTTTTATAAATTGTACATAATAAAAAATAAATAAATATACTTACCAATCTCACAAATTTGAAATATTTTTAAAATTATTTCAAGCTTTTAATAAATATTTATTATCTTTTAAAGCACGGTGTTTAGTTTGTGAATTTCGATATCGATGTTCTCTGACTAGTTTGATGTGATAACAGCAGGGCTCTATGTGGACAAAAAACAATGGCCAACTGTTCAGCGGCGAAGTACGAAAATTATAAAAAAAAGTTAAAAAATGTTTTTACCACGGAATTAAGAAATTTACAATACGTTTTCAGAGAGCAAAAGTAGCCTCTGTGTAAATATGACCCCTTCAAACTTACACCCTGTATATAACTTTTAAAAACTCAACGATTCTATTTCTTGTAATACTTATACTTCACAGAATAAGAATTGATAAAATGTATTTTATTCTGTATTTTAAATACAGAGCGACAGAACGTTTCATTAAGAATGGGCGTGATTAAGATATGCTTTAGTCATACATATTTTGTTCAAGTTTAAAAAAAATCATATTGCCAAAACCATTACAACAATCAAGTTGAAAATTACGATGGTTATGTTTTTTACAGAAAAAAATTAAGAAATAATTACTAGTTACACTTTTTTTTCAGATTGTCCGGTGAAAAGCTTTCGAAATACTGAAAATTTAGTTTCTTTTAAATTTGGCACCCACTAATAGACTACATTTTATTAATACATATTTGGCTCAATGCCAAACCTCAAGATTCTTCCATAAATTTAAGTACACTATACAGGGTGTTATAATTAGGTGTAAAATATTTAACCAATCTGATTTCTTGAAAAGTCTCGGATCTCTTTTTTATTTCTTTAATAATTCCATCACATCCAATCACTGTTAATAGGTAGGTATTAGTTTTAATAATTACGTGGTAATAATGTTTAAAATCTTGAAATATTTATTCTATTCCATCCTATAGCTAATTTCATAAAAAACAATTTCATCAGTAATGTTTTTTTCTGTAAACTGCATATTTAAAAAGGTATATTGGAAAATGTTAGAAAAAGCACGCCATTTTTGAGTATTTTTGCAGTTTTTAATTTTTCCTGCAAATACCACAACTTTTTTTCCTGGCGCCAACTTGTATTTTCATTGTATATATTATTTTTGACCGATTTTTACTAATATCTAAACTAAGTCAAGCAGCAGCTATGCTAATATGTAATTCTCCTGGGCTATTATGGCATTATGCAAAACAAACTTTTTGAAATTAAAAAAAAGTCGAAATATTTAGTTAACATTAAGTTAGATATTTAATAAAGATAATATTAGTACTTAGAAGTAGTTTTAAAGATATGGTATTTTTAGTAATTAGTCATCGCGATTTACTTGTATAATAAAATTGCGTTTAATAGCGTACATTCTCTATAAAAAATTAAAATATATAAAAAAAATTAATTGAAAATAGAATAAAAATGATTCCACTTCGGAATCTGCCTCATAAATTTGCATATTGAAAGACGATCTTTTTGAGAATTTTTCGAAGAAAAAAAAACGCAACTTATTTTCACAAAGCACTTTTTGGTTTAAAAATCAACAAAACTTCAAAAAACTAACTAACTAGCTATTTTTTTTTTCTAAAACTACATCTCAAAACAAACAAAATGAAAAGAAAAATTTATGATATCTTTAATTTTTGGTACCTACTTATTTCATTTTTTTACTCGAAATATTCAAATACTCATAACTTCTTAAGGGGTTGAAATAAAAATTTGAAAAAAAATCATGAAGGTTATTCTAAATGGGGACTAAATAATACGAAAAAATCAAGAAAATTAAAAATGGTCCGGTCACGACCCCACTAGAATGCCATATAAATAAATTCAGTTCCAAGAAACACTTTTCTCAATATCTTTAACAGCAAAAAAATTGCAAAAGAACAAGACTTGAAATTTCAGTTATTATAATTAAAACCGAAATTTTCGATTTTGTTTCATTTCAGCCTTGTTTGAGGTGCTATTGAAAAAAGAAGAACACTTTCTCATGGCAACTTTTTGTCCTCTATTGAATGGCATAATCAATTTTTATATGTAACGTTTCATCTCTCCAGGACCGTCATCAACTTCATTTTTTAAAATACGACCCTGAGAATTTTATTACATTTTTTGCAAGCCTTCATGAACCCCAATACTGTACTGTCTCAGCTCGAACCGGATTCAGACGATTTGCCTGAAAAAATTCATCTTCAATGTATTCGTTTCAAATACATATATCTAATTTTTTTATTTAGATTTCTATGTTTATTGAATTATCGTACACTCTAAGTGTCGTTAGACCCTGTGAATTCCTTCAAGTTATTTAAACTATTACCACATTCTTTTTTCAATAATATCACCTCAAATAAGGCTGAAATGAAACAAAAACGGATTTCCAAAATTTCGGATTTTTTCAAATATTTCGAAAACTAGTCATGTTAGTCTCGATTTTTTAGAGGCATAATGTTGGTCCCCTGATTATGCAATTTTGCCTTATCTGCCTCATAAATTTGCATATTGAAAAATGATTTTTTTTTAAATTTATCGAAGGAAAAAAACAACTCATTTTCACAACTTTTTTGGTTTAAAAATCAAAAAAAACTATTTCTATATTTTTTTATAGTAGTACATCTCAAAGCGAACCAAATCAAAAAAAAATGATATCTTTAGTTTTTGCCAAGCTACAGGTATTTGAAAATTTTTTTCCCAAAGTATTCAAATGCTCATAACTTTTTGATAGGTACTCTAAATGGGTTGTAAAAAATTCCAAAAAATCAAGAAAATTAAAAATGATCCGGTCACGACCTCAGTGATTTAGCTTCTAATGTCCCAAAAGTAAATTCAATTTCAGGAAACACTTTTCTCAATATCTTCAACAGCAAAAAAATTGCAAAAAGCAAAGGGCTGTTGAAAGTAGTACAGTTATTATAATTAAAATTTAAAAAATAAATTCTTTGAAGACCCGTAACCTTTTAAGAAAGCATTTTGATACTATGGTATAATCGGTTAATTGTTTTGTTTTGGTCTGAGAAAGCTTGAATTGACTCTTTTACACTTAATTATGACTCACATATATAATCATTCAATTTCTCCTGTCTTCCAATTTTTGACATCCTGCACTAGAATAAAAATAGTACCTTTCGTAACTTAAGTATATTCTAAATATGATATTATTTTTATAAAACATACATTACTAAATAATATTTAATTAAAAAAAAATAAGTTTAATGACTGCAATTAATGTTATTATTAAATGTATAACAGGCATAAAAGCATTTTTATTATAATGTTCCATAGCCTTAGCAAAATTACCATATCAAGCAAAATGCGCGGTTACCTGGTTCCAGGACCTTGTTCTCATTGATCTTATACATGGTCGGATGACATTCCACGAAAATCACTCCAAAACAAAGCAAAAAACATACTCCGGGAATCATCTTCGCCAATCAAAATCCTCACCGCACACAAAAAAAAACGATGTTCGTAAAATACCGTCAAATCTTCAACTAAAAACTTCTTGTAAAATTCGCAATACCGCTACAGCGATCCCTAACAGTAGTCGCATGCAAATAGGATGTGTTTACAACGACTATTCATCCGTTCCACTGTTTTCCATCTCAGTGAAAGTCAAATGAAACCTACTTCTGTCCGCAAGTAGGCGTACAAATGTTGAATACTTTGTCTCTGTCGCTTGCGAGCGGCTATTCGCGTTGGAAGAAGACGAAGATATGTTATTGTTTGTACGTTACACGGGAAAAGTTACAGGTGTCATTGCTAAAGGCATACTGCACACACCTGTAATCATAGGAGTGGATCTCGCATTATGGGGTAATTACGTAAATAAACGGTTTGCTCTTTCTCGTTTCCTTGCTTTTCGAGAAATAGCAACTTCGTGGGAGGGTCCCCATCGTTACTTTATTATAAAAGTTACGTTAAAAATAAGTGAAGATGCCCTTGTCAGGTTTGTTTACCTCTGCTAATGAAACGAAGAATATGACGCGAAAAAGTTTCTTGGAAGATCGAAAATTGTAATATAACAAGATATGTGCAGACTAAACACTATGCTTTGTAAAGGGTCTCCCAAAATCCATGCAAGACGTAATTTTAATAGAAAACAGGTTTTTTATATATAAATTGTAATTTTTTATTGATTTCTAAAATATGCAGTAAGGGCCTCTACGGCTTTGCTGACACATACACACTTTTTCGTCGAAATTTACATAAATACTGCTGAATTTCAATATAATTATTATAATTGAATTGTTTCTCGGGCTGTGTGGCATGTGGCACTTTCTTGTTGAAACCACATGTCGCCTACATCCGTATCTTGCAATTTAGAGACAAAAAACTATATTATCACGTCGCACAGTGGTCGAATTTCCGAAAAAGCTGGACAAAAGTCGAAAATTCAAAGTCGTTGGTTTGCGTTAATACTTCAGAATATCCTAGAGAAGGAGTAGTTCTTTAACGAGACAGAGAGCTGGTCCACGTGTACAGACCTCAGCAACCATCGGAAGTATGCTGCGACACATTAGCATATTTCACTTGCCACTGATTCCTCGAAAACCAGTAAATTTTTACAAATGCGAATTTTTGCTAAGGTATGAATCATTGTGTGCAATATGGAGGGTATTCCTGGAGATAAGTCGAATACATTTGCTCATCTATAACCTCATTTTTCGAAAATTGATTTGTTTTTATTGTGTAACCAAAACCTCTTGCAATTTCCATCGATTTCATATCACATCAATCGTAAATTATCGAAAAAGTTGTGATCCCAAGAGATTCTCACTATTAAAAGTTGAAAAATGCGCCCAACAGTGTCAAGTTCATATATGAAAAGATAAAACCGGATTCGGGTTCTGATCTGAGTCATTTTTTGTGCCTCCTTGTACGGTTTACTGATGTAAGAGGCCTTAGTTATACAATAGCTTGCGTAATAGTTTCTCTTCGCGTTCCACACTAGGGGTTATAAATCAAATTGTTTTTTTTTTTATGAACATGCACCTTTTCGTGTGTATCATACGAACTAGTATAGTTAAATTGAAAGACGCAAGCTGATAAAACTATAATTATTGGAAAACTAATTTGTTTCATCTGTCATACATGTTTTATTTTAAACAAATGACATAAGCCACCTATGACTGAATTTTTTAATAATGTTTGATGAAATACTGTTTGTCTCTGCCCCTTATTTTACTACTGTACAATTTTTTTCTGTAGTTGATCATTTGTCTTTTTATAATTTATTGTTTGTTTGTATGTGTGTGAATAAAGCCAATATAATAATATTTTAAAAGAATATTTTGTCTGATTTAAATAAAATAATAGATTTTCCTGTTACATTATACATTGCATATTCAAGTCGACACATCTCGAAAACAAGTAAATATTGGGAAAAACTATATTACAAAAATTACTGAAAATTCGATGGACCGCATTTCCACGTTCCAGGAATCAAAAATCTTTAATAAACCTAACATTCTTACCGAAAAACAACCCTACATTTTCCAAAAAGTTATAAAGATTCTGCAGTATCGACTTTGTATCTAAGATAAAAAGTTTCAGATACCTAGTAAAAATGTTGACATTTGCTATGAATTAATTTAACCCTTATAATAGTAATATGTACAAATTAGATTTTAGTTAATATAATCATAAAAACCAGACAAAATATCAGTGGTCATGTGATTTTAATAGCCGTATTTGTTATACCTGCCGTATTGTGATATTCAGTGAAATAATTAGTGTCAAAATATTACCACTCGAGTGTTGAACCTCAAAGGTCACACTAGTGCGAATTCGCACCACCTGACATTTTCAGGTAGCAACTGCCGAGAGTTCCCCCACCACAATAATTCCTTCTATAGCCTAAACAGTCAAGCCGCACCACAGCTAACATCAGTCTGTTATTGTCGGCCAAATTAGGGAATCTGAAAAATACGATCGGTGCGAATTGAAATGCAAATTTCCAATTTTTTTCACCTCATTTTATGTCTCGAATAGACTAGAACATTGTCTATTTGGTTATTGTTAATAATTTTAATTTTTTCTTTAAAAATTTGATTGTAATATGTATTTATGAATATTTATGAATAATATTGTTTAAATTAATATTTTTATACAAAAAAGTGCAAAATAAACATCAATTTACAGAAAAGAAGCCAAAAATCACTACTTCAAAAAATGTTTTCGAGATACCGGGAAAAATCGATAATATTATTTTATTAATATGGGGTATTTTTTTAAATATAGACTATGAACTTCAAAAACCTTTTTTTAAAAAAAGTCATATTTCGAAAAATGTTTTTGATTTCAGTCGCATTTTTTATTAGCAAATTAAATTTTTTCCAAAACTAATTACATCATTCGAGTTTTCGGAAAATTTTAGCCCTGTGTTGATACAAATACGTTATGTTTTCGTTAACAAATAAAGAAAACATAAAGATTGAAAGTTGGCAAATCCCAATTCGCACTAGTGTGACTTTTGAGGTGACCCTTGAGGGTTATGTATGAATGAAGTGGAAAAGCCAAAGAAAGTCCAATATCGATAAAATTCAGGTTGCAAATTATTAAAAAAGGAATACATTTACTTCAGGAAACATATTTTACCTTTCTTCACAGATTTCCGTGTCATTTGTCAATAGCTGAACACAAGGGCGTCGCCAGCCAACGGGCTAGGGGGGAAGAGAGAATGGGAGAAATATAAATTATAGGTAGAAATAATAACTAGAGTGAATTAATTTTTTTTATAAATATTTTTAATAAAACCTATTTAATATTTAATATTTTATTCTGATTCCCATAGATAAAAATTATTTTTTTTAATTTAAATTATTAAATTAATTTTTTAAAATATGGAAATATATTACTTTTTAACATAAAATTTTATATTTTTAAATGCTTTTGTCAACAAATATTTAAACTAATTTATTACAATTGTTTTTTTTAAAAATCGAGTATTAATTTTCAAAATTAAAGTTTAAGTAAATAAAATATTTTATTAAAAATTTTCAATCTAATCTTTTCTTAGCTTAAGAAAATTTTTGTACTTTTTTCGAATTTCTAGAGGGAGGAAGGTTGCCATGTTATCCAGAAACATACAGTTCTCTTTTTCAGAAATAAACTAAAATTGAAGAGTTAGTTTTCTGGTCGGAACTTACCATATATTTTCTGGGTGTACTGGCCCTTGACGTTCTGGTGCACGACCTGAAGTCACTGCCCTATAGCGTTACTTTTTGGCTTTTACTATGTCTCTGTAGAGCATTGTCCAACATTTTCTCCCTTAATAGAACTTCGGTATTTTTAATGGCTATCGCCTTGTTTCTACATTGTACTCAGCAACTGTTGGTGCTTGTGTACTTTCACCCCCGTGCTAACATGGACAGACATGGGTCCTGCGGTTCCTGCCTGGAAATCCTTCAACCAATTTCTTTCCACAAACATCTCCTAATTCCGATTTCCTATAAGATCATATTTTATTCTCACATCTAAAATCGGTTAGGGATATCAATGCAACATCGAGGTTAATGATATTCAGGTGGATGGTGTAAATGCAAATTTATTTCATCAGTTTTAAGAAAAATTATACAAGCAGCCACGTTTCTATTGCACCTAGGTGGTCGATCACAAATCACGAGGCGACGCAGCCTTTCCAGGATCGCATGTTAAATACCAATAAGAGAAAAACACGTCCAAGGAAACTAATCTAAAACGTTGCATTATTAATTAGATACCTTTATAGTTCTTGGCACCTCCTGAAATAAATAAACAAACGAAAAGGTCGTCCGGAATCTAGAATCGTTTTGTCCCCTTTGCTTGAAACAAAAAATTCGTAATCGAGTTAGGGAAATACTTTTTTTTGAACATTGCGAACATTAACTTATTTTGTAAGATAGTCATCAGCCAAAACAAACATTTTTCGTAACGTGGAGTGAGCTTTTTATTCCAAGTTCATAAAATTCTCCCGCCGGTTCGTACAACTTTTTCTTCATAGTAAATCTTAAGTGGATCACTGCTTTTAAACAGCTTTCCAACCAAAAACAGCTCAAGATTTAAAAAAAATAGGAAATTGTTGGCAAATCCAGAATATCAGCTGGTTGATCCACAATTTTTCACGCCAAGTTGCAGTCTAACAATAACTATCTTCATTTATTGTTTAATTTCGATACGTTNATTGTTGGCAAATCCAGAATATCAGCTGGTTGATCCACAATCTTCCACGCCAAGTTGCAGTCTAACAATAACTATCTTCATTTATTGTTTAATTTGGAGAGTAGTCAATCGATAACTTATAAAATGATACCCATTAATTTTTTGACTTGTGACCGAGGGCGGCGTCTGCGCGCATGAGCGCGCCTGACGCTCCATCTCCAGCGTGTAGGCGGTTCATTGACGTGAATTTTTACTGCTGCTAGCGCCTTTATTACATGAACTATCAATGTAAAACTATTTGTAAATAAAAGTTTAACCTTTTCTTTAATTGTCTCTAAAATCCTGATCATATACGTCCGGTAGTTAATAAACAATTAACTTTATATAAAAAAAGTTGTCTTGGGAACAAAGAGGCGTGGGTGATTTATCTTTTTTT